ATTCCGAGGCCTGGTTTAGATTATTCAGTGTTCGTTGCGTGCCCTGTGTGGGATTCGAATCTACTGGCCCGAGGAAGGGACAGTTTAGATTATTCGGTGTTCGTTGCGTACCCTGTGTGGGATTCGGATCTGCTGGCCTGAGGAGGAGACAGTTTAGATTATTTGGTGTTCGTATTAGGTACAGTGAGAAAGCCTTGACTGGTGGAAGTCCGAGATGTGAGGATGAACAATCGTGAGTGCCATCGATCGCTCACATTCGAGGACGAATGTATTGTTAAGCTGGCCGAGGAGTATAAAGTCTAGTAAGGCTTGTTTCGATATTTGGTAGGCGGTCGAATTAGATAGGAAAGTAGTGGAGCTGTCGTGGGGCAGCAAGCTAAGTGCTGGATTGTGGTACGAGGGATCCCGAGTTCAAAACCCGGTCGGCTCCTTAATTTTTTGACGCCTACAGTTTTCAGAAGTGGGATACGAATCTGCTGGCCCGAGGAGGGGACAGTTTAGATTATTCGGTGTTCGTTGCGTGCCCTGTGTGGGATTCGAATCTACTGGCCCGAGGAGGGGACAGTTTAGATTATTCGGTGTTCGTTGCGTACCCTGTGTGGGATTCGGATCTGCTGGCCCGAGGAGGAGACAGTTTAGATTATTCGGTGTTCGTATTAGGTACAGTGAGGAAGCCTTGACTGGTGGAAGTCCGAGATGTGAGGATGGACAATCGTGAGTGCCATCGATCGCTCACATTCGAGGACGAATGTATTGTTAGGCTGGCCGAGGAGTATAAAGTCTAGTAAGGCTTGTTTCGATATTTGGTAGGCGGTCGAATTAGATAGGAAAGTAGTGGAGCTGTCGTGGGGCAGCAAGCTAAGTGCTGGATTGTGGTACGAGGGATCCCGAATTCAAAACCCGGCCAGCTCCTTAATTTTTCGACGCCTACAACTTTGGTTTTTGGGATTGTCGCGAACTGAGTGCAGATTCTAAGACCTTTTGAGGTGTTATTTCGGAATATACTCTCTATCGGAAAGGGCTGTCACGAGTTTTTATAATTGTTACCCCTCTCTTTTACGTTCCTACTTAATAATTTCGGACGTTGGTCTCATGAAAAAATTAAATGGTTCTTCTGATCTCGGTGGGGCATAGATTGCTTACATTTAGAAGAATCTATGCATTCTATTGGTGGTATGTGAGTATGGTAGGGTGGTTTCTTAATCCTTACGCAGTGTAATTTGATTGACAAATTTATAATCACCCACGCATTTGTAGTGTGAAATATCCGATCTGACAAACACTCAACCGGTGTCGACTCTTATGATTGGCATTATTTATGTTTATGCGAAAAATTCTTTTGGCGGAGCTGATGATTTGCTTGGTCTTAGCGTTTAGCGTTGCAGGAAGTTTAACTTGCGATCATTTAGCATTCAATTTATGACGTCAATTTTGTCAAAAGTTTAGATTTAAATATCGCTCCTGTGAGTTAAATGAATTTTTGATTTGTTTATCGGAAGCAGTGTGAAAGAAGTTTCGTTAGGTTATGTCGACATTATTTAAATAGTTTAAAATTTATCGCTTCCCGTGTTTGTCAGATACGGTTTCGTTTCTGATGAAATATAGACTCGCGAGAAAGAAAAGAATCGTGGAGTCCTATCAGGACGTAACATATACATTTAATTGTTTTATTTAAAAGAATATTCTTTTATTTAAACATTATTCTTGTCGATCCTGTCGAACCAACTTCTTCGAGATAAGTAAAGAACTCTGTCGGTTATACACGGTAATTGAAAGAAGGTCGATCCGAGGACATAGCCGTTTTGTTTAAATAAGTCGAGCCGTTAGTGCTTTTTGAGAAACGTTTATTAAAAACCGTCATTCGTCGAGTCGTAGACATTAAATCAAAGATCTTTTTCGAGAAGAGTCGATATCTTTCAATATATATATACTTTTAATATACTCTTTATTCGAATTGTAAGAAAAAAAAAAAAAAAAAAAGAGAGAGAAGAAGATATATATATATATATATATATATATATATATATATATAAAAATACGTATACATAATGTAGA